GGGGGGCGGGGGGGGGGGGGGGGGGGGGGGTTCAGGAAGAGATGAGAGGAAGCAGGTGCAAGCGACGGGCCCGCCCTGGCTGGCTCGGCTTAGTGGGTAGAGTGTCAGCCTGCAGACCCAAGGGTCCCGGGTTCGATTCTGGCCGAGGAACTCGTACAACTTAACAAGAGGAAGACAAACGATTTAAAAATGGGCAAAGGCCCTAACTAGACACTTCTCCAAAGCGGACATACAGACGGCCAAGAGACACATGAAAGAACGCTCAAAGTCCCCGATCCTCAGAGAGACGCAAACTGAAACGACAAGGAGGGATCGCCTCACACCTGTCAGGGTGGCTGCCGTCAACAAATCAACACACGGCAAGAGCTGGCGAGGACGTGGAGGAAAGGGAGCCCTCGCACGGCTCGTGGGAACGCCGCCTGGGGCAGCCGCTGTGGAAAACAGTGTGCAGTTTCCTCAGACAATTAACAATGGAACTGCCATTCGACCCAGTGATCCCACCTCTAGGACTATATCCTAAGAAACCCGAAACACCACGCAGGAAGGACATACGCACCCCGATGCTCAGAGCAGCACAATTTCCAATAGCTCAGATCGGGAAACAGCCCAGGTGCCCATCCGTAGGCGCGTGGGTAAAAAAAGCCGCGGTACATGGGCACCAGGGAATACTATGCAGCCGTGAAAAAGGAGGATCTCTTAGCCCCCGAGACAGCACGGAGGGGCCCGGAGAGTATCACGCTAAGTGACATAAGCCAGTCGGCGAAAGGCAAGCGTCCCATGATCTCACTCATAGGTGGCATCTAAGTAACAAAATAAACGGACGAACGGAGTGGATCCGGAGACACGGAAACAGGAGACAGAGAGCGGGATCTCGGAGGGAAGACGGGGGACGGAGGTGATGAACCAAAGACCTTGCGTGCAGCTCTGCATGACCCATGGACACAGACATAGGGCGGTGAGGGCCTGGGGCGGGGGGAAAAAAGGGAACAACGCTGATACTTCCGACGACAGGGAATTATTCAAAGGAGAGAGAGCCGGCCGGCCGGCCCGCGCTCACCGATGGCCAGGGTCATGGCCTGGAGCTTGCTGCGGACCAGCTTCACCACCATGCTCTTCTGCAGCGGCGTCGAGCGGCAGCACAGGACCGAGCGGCACTGCTTGGCCAGGACGAGGAACTTGTCCTCCAGGCTCTTCTCCAGGGCATAGGCCAGGCTCCTCCCGTCGATCACCAGGCTCAGGCAGGGGCCGGGGGC